TCCTAATAAACAATCGTGGTACAAAGCTCAATAAAAATATTAAAAATTATATTTTTTGTTGTTTGTGTGAATATTTTATATTTTTATCATTATTTTTCTTTTAATAAAAATATGTTGAAATAGTGAAAAAAAAATATTTTTGAAAAATTTAAAAAATAAGAGTTTCCGTGTCAATTTTTTGCATTTGTTCTAAAGCCTGTTCGGTTACAAAAAAATCTAGTTACTTATGAAGAAAATCGATGGATATATAAAGAAATAATGAGTGGTCAAATGAAAGTGCGCTAAGATTGTATGAAACATGCGCATAAAAGCGTGCTACTTAGGTGTACATGGCGTATGAGTAACATTATTTCCTGCTCATTTTCATACAAAAAATCTTTGCCCATTTTTATTTGACCACTCATTTCTTCTTTATTTATCCATCGATTTGCTTCATTAGTAACTTGGTTTGGCTTTAGCACAACCGCAAAAATTTTACACAGAACCTGTTAGTTTTTAAATTTTTCTCCTGTTAAAATTTGATTTTAGTGGGAATTCAGGCTTACATGCACAACTTTTTACATCATAGTATACTCTGAAATTGAGCAATTCTTGCGTCTGTTTGCAATTTTACACAACTGCAGAATTCATATATCTTGAAAATATTTTTAAGATTATTTTACAATTAATCGATTAAAAATTGAATTTTTTGAGTTATGACAGTCTTTTAGTAAATGAGCGATATGAACATACATATGTTTGTAGATATACGTATTTTAAAATTAAACCACTTAATGTGTTGATATTTTCTAGCATTAGCCGGTGAACACGTTAAGCATATCCTAAGCGAGGCAGCATGCCGTGTCCCCCAACGACGCGTTGAACGCATACAACGCGATCCATCGAAAATGTACATGCCCCACTGTACGGTACTTCATCGCTGCTCCGACGAGACTGGTTGTTGTCGTAGTGAACGTCAAACATGTGCACCCAAACGCACAAAAAATATCGATTTGTATTTCTATGTAAGTAAGTATGTACATATATATGTATTAAACTAGCGATGGACATAATCTGCGCATATGTACTATATGTAGCTGGTAAAATGGGCTAGGTGAGAAGGGTAATTATGCCAGGGGGTTTTGGGAACAGAAATTTTGAACGAATTGCATCTGTATGTGTTATCAGAATGAGAGAACAAGTATATGTGAGTACTCTGCCATCTTTCTTAAAAGCACAAAAACTTGGGAAAAATCAAAAAATTGCGAAATCCTTCAGTAAAATTAAGTATGCATCTATACGACATTAGTGATCTGCCTAATACTAGGTTTACATATAAATAGATAATCCTCATTTTCGAGCTTAACTCCGTAATCTGTAATTAGAAAAAGAGATGAACCATACAACCGACGTCCTTCGTCAATCTGTAAATATAAAATAATCTCAGATTAAACCGATAACTTTTCGGTGTCCACCCTAGTTTTATCGATTATTATTGCGAAGAAGAGAAACATGTCAAATGTAAAAGTAAACAAAAATGGACCTTAGCAAGGAAAATAGGTTTGTAAACGCATTTGTGATAAAATATTAAATTGAAATATCTTTAATTGGTTTACTTAGCAGTGATCGCAGTGGCCCGGAGAAGAAACTTAACTTTTCCTTGAGTTGTAAGAATAACAAGCACAAAAGATTTTACGATTAAAAATCTGAGATTTGTCTGTGTAAACTGGGTGATTAACAAACGAGCTTTGAGTGAGATTATATTTATATGTAAACGTACTTAAAACATGAGTATGGTTCCGTGCGCAAAAGTGGAAATCTTTTGGCCGCCATTCACCTGATTCTTGTACGTACGGTTCAAATCGCAGCTCACAACGTCCGGAAATTTATATTCACGTATCCTCTGGGTAGCAACAAAATAGCCGTTTGACAGCGAGCTACAGTGAGAAGGCGTAAAACTTCGCGTGCCCTGCGTTTGGGTCCCGCCAAGTTAAAACTCCGCCCAGTGAAAAAAAATCAGTCTCGGATGAGACCCCTTTTTTCTGATGACGACCACGGCAAACGTATTAAACAGTCTGATTTCAGCGTATGTATCTGGAATATCCGGACCCTTAATGGGGAAGGTGCCTATGCCCGGCTGGTTGATGTCCTCGGGAAGGTTAAGGCTGACATGACCGCCATCCAAGAAATGCGATGGACGGGGCCAGGCAAGGTAAGCGTGGAACCTTGCGACGTGTAATATGGTTGCCAGGTAAAAGAGCGCAAATTCGGTGTGGGATTTGTGGTGGGAGAGAGACTCCATCGTCGAGTACTGGCGTTCACCCCGGTGGCCGAACGTCTAGCCACAATCCGCATCAAAGCGAGATTTTTTAATACTTCGCTCAGCTGCGCCCATACTCGGACAGAATAGAAGGACGCGGCGTCCAAGGATCTCATCTATGAGCGCTTGGAGGGAGCATATGAGCGCAGCCCCTGACACGAGATACATATCGTATTTGGCGATTTCAATGCCAAGGTGGGGTAGGAAGGGATCTGTGGCGCCACTGTCGGAAACCTCAGCCTCCACGACGAAACGTCCGATAACGGATTGAAACCAAATCAACAATGTTGTGATAGACGGAAAGCATGCTTCAAGCGTTTTAGACGTAGGTACACTCCGATGGCCAAACATCGACTCGGACCACTATTTTGTTGCAGCCAATATACGCACCCGCCTCTGTGCAGCAAAAAATGTGCGCCCACCAATTCAAGGAAAGCTTAACGTTGAAAAGCTGCAACCACAACAGATAGTTAATTTATTCACCACTCGACTCAACCACCTGCTCTCTGAGAGCACTCTTGAGAAAGCCGACATACGCGAGCAGTGGAGCCACATATCCCGATCATTAAGTACCGCCGCCGTAGAAACAGTCGTATTTCAGCGGACCCGAAAGCAAAACTCGTACGATGGGGAGTGGGGAGCTGCAGAGAAAAAAAAATGCCGCCTACAAGGCCACGCTGCGATCGAGCGCAGCGCGAGTCATGTGGGACCGTTATAGGGAACTGAAGAGGGAAGCGAGGCGTATTTGTCGCATTAAGAAGAGAAAGGCCGAAATACGTGAGTGCGAAGAGATTGAAATGCTGGCCGACAGGAAAGTTGCCCGAAAATTTTATGAGAAAGTTAGGCGACTTACTGAAAGTATCAGGACCAGGGAGAACTCCTGTAAGAACAACAATAACGACCTAGTGACCGATGTCCAGAATGTACTTAAATTCTGAAATGCTGGCCGACAGGAAAAATGCTCGAAAATTTTATCAGAAAGTTAGGCGACTTACTGAAAGTTTCAAGACCAGGACGAACTCCTGTAAGAACAACAATAACGACCTAGTGACCGATGTCCAGAATGTACTTAAATTATGGATGGAACACTTTTCCACCCTACTGGATGGTAGCAGCGCTGAAATTAGTGGAGAAGACGAACCCAAGCCCCCAGTGGATGACGAGGTACGAATAGCGATAGCGCGCTTGAAATCAACAAATCTGCTGGAGCTGACAGCCTGCCAGCTGAGCTAATAAAGTACGGTGGCGAGGAGTTGATAATGTGCATGCATCAAGTCTTATGCAGAATATGGTCAGATGAACGCATGCCCGACGACTGGAATTTAAGTGTGCTCTGTCCAATCCACAAGAAAGGCGATCCCGCCATTAGCGCGGAATCAGCCTTTTAAGCATAGGTTATATGGTCATATCGAATGTGTTGTGCGATAGGTTAAAGCCCACCGTCAACGAACTGATTGGACCTTATCAGTGTGGCTTTAGGCCTGGCAAATCCACCATAGATTAGGTATTCACAATACGCCAAGTCTTGGAAAAGACTCGCGAGAATAGGATCGACACACACCATCGATTCGAAACTAATATGGCCGTGTAAAGTAACGTTGAGCAATACCAACAGCTCGGGCAGAATAGGGCTCTCCGAGCCGTTTCATACCAAACGAGGTTTCAGACAAGGTGACTCCCTCTCTTGTGATTTTTTTAATTGGAGAAGATAATAATTGCCGCAGAACTGAACCTCTCAGGCACAATACTTTACAAGAGCGTACAATTGCTGCGATATGCCGACGACATGGATATTATCGGTAAAAACAAGGGCTACGTCTGTTCTGCCTTCTCGGGATTGGATGGAGAAGCAAAGCCCATAGGTCTGAAGGTGAACGAGGACAAAACGAGGTATCTCCTGTCATCACACAAATAGTCAGAGCATACGCGTCTTGGCACCCACGTCACTGTTGACAGTTACAAGTTTGAAAAAGTAGACGACTTCGTTTATTTGAGAACCAGCATTAACACCAATAATAATGTCAAGTGCTACTTTGGACTGAGTAGGCAATTGAGAAGTAAAGTCCTCTCTCGTCGTACAAATCACACTCTATAAGTCACTAATCATGCCTGTGCTAGTGTATGGCGCGGAAGCATGAACAGTGAAAACATCTGATAGCGCGCTTGAGTTTTCGAGAGAAATATTCTGTGAAAGATTTACGGACATTACGCAGACGATTTAACGATGAGCTGTATGAGCTTTACAACGACATGGACATAGTGCAGCGAATTAAAATTCAGCAGCGGCGCTGTCTTGGCCATGTCGTTCGAATGGACAGAAACGCTCCTGCTCTGAAAGTATTCAACGCGGGCCGCGATGCTGGTAACAGGGGAAGAGGAAGGCCTCCTCTGCGTTGTAAAGACCAGGTGGAGAAGGACTTGGCTTCAATTGGCATTACCAATTGGTGGCAGTTGGCACAGAAGAAAAATGACTGGCTTGTTGTTTTGGACTCGGCCGAAATCGCTCAGGCGGTAGCATCGCCAATAAAGAGGAAGAATTACTCTAAAATATATAAAATATGTGTTTTTGCATTTACCAAAACCAAAATAAAAAGCTAGTTCTAGCCTTTAGACTAAGTTTATATAGGCGGAAATGTTTTTAATTAAATTTTATTGTTTTTGTTTTGTATATAAATAGAAATTTTCAGGTTTAAGGAAGTATTTAAAAGTTTTCTGGTATCTCCAGAAAATATATTTAAAGCGTTTTCTGTAAGTTCAGGACGAGATTCGAGGATGTGGTAGTTTACATATCAGTCCTTGACATATATATTTTTCAAAAATAAATATTGGAAATTTCCAAGGATATTCAAGGATAAAGTTTTAAAAGGACATTTTCAACATTTCCTTTTTGGTTGTTGTTGTTCCGACAGGGTGGGCGTATGATGTATTTTGGAACGAATTTCCGTCATCCCTTGTCAAATTTGGTTTGGAGACAAACCGGTTCCGGCGTTGTGCCATCTTCAGTGTCATTTTTCGTTCTGCATAATTTTTGTTGGATGCTCGTACTTATACTCCTTGTTAACTACCTCTTTCTTTTGTTAGGTACGTCTTTTTAGTTTTGCAGTGTTTGCGGTGCTCAATAGGTAGATTAATTGTGTTGGCTCGTTTTTGACGGCAGGTAGAAGTCCGTGATTTTTACCCTCTTTGTTTTCGCGAATCACATGATCAAAAATAAATGCACACCAATGAAGATTGGACAAACAACAGAACTTCTCCGTGTACAACATAAAGGACAAAGATTGAATATATTAGAAAATATTGAAATATATAAACAGAATACCTTCAAAGGACAAATAATAAATGAGCAATTAAATACTGTATCGGACGTACTGTTTGAACCTCTAAACCTACTGTACGAGAAGAAAAATGACGACAACAAAATATTAAGGACAGACATGGAAGGGAATACACCAACTGCAAAAACAAAGAGGGTAAAAATCACGGACTTTTACCTGCCGTCAAAAACGAGCCAAAACAATTCATCTACCTATTGAGCACCGCAAACACTGTAAAACTAAAAAGACGTACCTAACAAAAGAAAGAGGTAGTTACGAGCAACCAACAAAAATTATGCAGAACGAAAAATCACACTGAAGATGGCACAACGCCGAAACCGGTTTGTCTCCAAACCAAATTTCACAAGGGATGATTCGAAATTCGCCCTGG